CGCGCGAGGTTGTCAGCGCCCGCGTGGCCCGCCAGTTCGCTTCCGCGCTCCCGTCGCGCAGGAGCTCGACGAGCAGCGGGATGGCGCCGGCCTCGGCGATCGCGACCTTGTTGGCGGCGTTGCTGAGCGCGAGGTTGCACAGCGCGTCCGCGGCCTGCGTCTTGGCCGCCGCGCTCGCGTTGCGCAGGCGATCGACGAGCGGCGGGATGGCGCCGGCCGCGGCGATCGCGACCTTGTTGGCGTCGTTGTTGAACGCGAGGTTGCGCAGCGCGGCTGCGGCATCCCATCTGGCGTCCGCACTCCCGTTGCGCAGGAGGTCGATGAGCAGCGGGATGCCGCTGGCCTCGGCGATCGCGACCTTGTAGTCGTCGTTGAGGTACGCGAGGACGCACAGCACGCCTGCGGCCTTCTGTTTCGCGTCCACGCTCCCGTTGCGCAGGAGGTCGATGAGCAGCGGGATGCCGCCGGCCTCGGCGATCGCGACATTGCTGGCGTCGTCCCACGCGAGGCTGCCCAACATCCGCGCCGCCGCCGTCTTCGCTGCGTCGTCGCCCTCGCGCAAGGCGCGGACCAGCCCCACGACACGCCCCACGAGGTCCGCCATGCTTGACCCCTTGCTAAATGTCGATGTTTCACACTGCTTGCATATTCAACAGCCACTGGTTGCGAGTTGCAGTCGATACTCTGCCATGTTGACGCTCGGCGTGACATCACTTGGTTGACTCCGAGCTGCCTCGCCCAGGTTGGGCACGCGATGCAGCGGTTCCAGGACTTGGCGCGGCGCTCGGTCTGTGGACCATGTCGCGCCTTGGGCCCGGCTGCGAGTCGCTCGGGAAAGACCATCGGTCGATGGGGAGCAACTTAGTTCGCGTCGGGGCAGCCCGTGGACGACGAGAACGGCGGTTATCGGTGGGGGGCGACCGACGAGGGGCTCGCATTAGTGCTGAGGTCCCGTATGTGCGACCAACTTCGAAGAAACACCCCCTGGAATGTCCCTCCCGAGGGGGCTGTCCGGGCTTGGTCGCACATACGGCCTCGTGCATTGCGCGGTGAGCACCGTGTCGCCCGCGGCGCCGCGCGCCTCTCGGAGCCGGTGAGGTGATCTCGA